AAAATTTTTTCTTTTGTAAGAAGATGATACTGTGTAGCAAAATTTCGGAATAAAGATGCCTAACTGTTGCACATGTATCTTACCATAAATGGGGTAAAATCTGAGTGGGGATCTGTAACAAGTGGCGTTCCACAGGGGTCAATTTTAGGCCCATTGTTGAATGATCTTGACGAGGGAATTATTAGTGATACGAGCAAATTCGTTGATAACTCGAAGAAATAAAGGATAATTGATTCGGACGTAGATATCACTGAACTTCAGGATGATTTAGACAAATTCAAATCGTGGTCAGAAAAGTGGGAGATACAGTTCAATGTAGATAAATGCAAACTTCTGAAGCTCGGGAATGTCCATAACCCTAACGCTTATAAACTAAATAATGTAGAACTTGGCCATACAGAATGTGAAAAGGACTTTGGGGTTATGGTGAGCAGAAACCTGAAACTAAGACAGTAATGCCTAAGCGTTTGTAATCAAGAAGTATTAGCAACAGAAGTCCATTGGTTATACTACAGCTCTACACCTCATTACTAAGGCCTCTCTTAGATTATGGAGCTTACTTCTGGTCTGCATATTACAGAATGGATATAAATTCGTTAGAAAACATTCAGCAAAGAATGACAAAATTAATACATAGCATTAGAAATCTTCCGTATGAAGAAAGATTGATGTCCATTAAATTTCATTCACTTGTAAGACGAAGAATGATGGAAGACATGATTGAAGTGCATATATAAGTGGAAGATGGTTATTAACAAAGGATATATAAATAAGGTCCTAAGGGTGTCCGTCCAAGAGAGAACCCTCAGTAATGGATTCAAATTAGCTAAGTTTAGATTTAGAAAGGATATAGGAAGTACTGGTTTGGAAATATGGTAGTTGATGAATGAAATAGTGTACCTAGGAGGCTGAATAAAATTCATGACTGAGAGGGGTTGGATTAAAGCGGGATTTGCAAACGAGTTAAAAAGGGTATCAAAGTTTATTGTTTGGGCAGTAATGAAAATCGGTTGGGCAAGTATTTTTGTTAGTGGTTTGGAATGTCACATTTTACTATGGTAACTTTTGGAATGTCACATTTGGAATGTCACATTTTACTATGGCAGCTTTTCGCTCTCATTAGTCACACTTGTGTCCTTTTACCTAACATACTGTGGTAATTCTGCTAACATTAATACAACCTGAATATGGGTTTGACATATGCCATGTATTGTGGCACTCTTACCTTGTTGAAGGTAAGAGTGTTAGAATATTTCAAGGCAGCGCTTATTTAACATCTGAAGGCAGCAGTGCTACAATATATGAAGATAGCATTACTGCAACGCATGAAGGTAGCAGTGCTGCTTCACATAGAGGTTCGATAAGTAAATAACTCGCACGTAGAAGAGAGGAGCTTATGACGTCGTAAGTTCCTCTCTTCTATGTGCGGGTTATTTGTGTATCGTTCCAGTCACGGTATTGTGCCTTTTTTTGTTATTTAGGTTTGATAAGGTATAAACATTTTCAACAGTGATCTAATATCCTGCCACAAGGTGGCAGAGAGCAGAGCAGTGGGTGTCATCCTATGTTAGTTACAGAAGCTGGAGATAAATTACATAAAATACCGACACGATGGAAAAATTAACACAAATGCAGTATAATTCGATCCTTTACTAACTACGTTTCTTCCACACAAACATATCTATTTGTGACTTGATCAAGTGCAAAGTCATGATTAGGGAAGGTCAAAGAATACCATGGACAGTGTACAAGCTTGGGAGTCAAAGCCTGCAAACCTCACTCAAGGAAAAGGATCTTGGGGTGGTTATCATGCAGAGCACATCTTTATCAAGTCACAAACAGATATGTTTGTGATTTGATAAAGCCCACTCTGGGAGTGAAAGTTACAGAAAGTGTCAGAAAACAAGCCCTGCCTCAGTCCTTCACCTCACACAAATAGTGGACGTGAAGGACTGATTGCGTCTTAGAAATGGAAGATAAGTTTTATCCGAGAAAGTGGAGATTGCTCCAATTTCTTAAATGAAAAAGCCCTTCGTTAAAATATCTGCAGCCTCCACTGAATAATGGAGTTAAGTGAGAATATACTTCCATTTTGTATTATTTATTGAGGTTATAATTCTGTGAAGTATAATTTATTGAAATAGTTATTGCGAAAAAAAATGTTGCTAACATACATACGTTTTTCTCAGATATATTCGACCTGATTATGGATTTAACATTGCCACGGGTGGATGAGGTGTACCAGTCTCCCACAGTACTGGAACTCTACAACAGGAGGAAAACATATGACATCATCCTGGTGGATCACGTTTGTAACGAG